AGCCGCCCTGCTTAATCTCATTTTTTCTGGAGCTCTTCTTTTGGTTGGGACCATCACTTCCTGTTCGGATACTACTTCTTGAAATGATTGAACATTTAAAATTTTTTTTTTTTTTTTTTTTTGTTCAATTCATGTGCTTTGTTTCTTTTTGAGTGATCTTCTTTTGAGAAGGAGAACCCATGTAGTTCACCTTCTATTTTGGTCAGAGTTGTGCTGTGCAACAGGTATTTTAAGAGGAATTTAATCAACACAAGAGCAGTTTGAGGATTTTCTTGGTAATTCCCCAAATTTATTTCATGAAATACTTGTTTTAAATATCCATATGCTTGTATGTATTTGTGTTTATCAGGATTATAGAATGATGACTTCTTGATTACTAGACTACTGTTTTATGGCATAAGAAAATAAAAACAGTAATTAATTGTAATAATGAGCAGTAAAAGGGTAAACATTTTATAATTTATATTGTTGTTAAGTGCCAACTCATCACGACTATGTTTAGGGTTTTTGATCAGTGACTGATGAGGTTGAACCACTGACCTTGTGGTAAACAGTCCAATGCTTAGCCTACAGAACCACACGAGGACTCCAATATGGAGGAAAAGCACTAAATCAGACTGTATTATTGCAGAGCCATTTTTTCATAAATATATATATGTTAAGGCTCTTAAAATCCTAGTAAACAAATTTTCAGGAATCTCGAATGTTGAATAGGAGCTCTTATGACAAAAAAGATTCAGCAGTTTTTAGGAATATTTTGCTGTGTGATTTTAAACATAAAAACAAGGAAGCTTAATATTTGCTTTTGTGTTTTGTCTTTTTTCTTTAGAGTTGAGCTGTTGGATTACCTTGACAGTATTGATTGCAGTTTAGAGGACTTCCAAGCCATGCTATCTGGAAGACAATTTAGCATAGACCCAGATCTCCTGGTTGATGTAGGTACTTCTATTATATAATCTTTGCTATACTGGCAGTTTGTGTGTTTTTAGGAACCAAAACAGCATTTTCTTCTCTTGAATTCTGTAATGTTGTTTTCATATTTTCTTTTTAAATAAATGATTTTATCAGAAAGCATGAACAGATGTGTCCAGGACATTGAAAGAGGATGATCAGTACCTGCTTCTGAGTAACAGTTCAGTTAATCCTCCTGTAACAACAAACATATCCGTTTTATTCAACAGTACTGTTAAGTCCAGGTCTTGTCTGGACATGTTACTGTTTTATGTTCTGCTCTGGAATAAATTGTCGCTGAATAGAGAAGTAAGTCTCTGTGAATTAGCAATATAGGCAGTTTACCAGGAGATACTTAATACTATGGAAATTAACATTTACTTCCCTTCAAAGTATTGTGTTAAAAAGATTTGTTCAGTATTTATGTTTGTATTTTTATGCCTGAGTCCAAGGTTTCCTTGCCCTGTACCCCCGCTCCTTGCCTTGAACTTGACTCCAGTATTATCTGAATTTGGAATCCTTATCTTCCATTTCTGGCAGTAACCCACTCTTGTTGTTCCTACCATTCCTCCTCCCTTATCTAAAGCTCTCTGTATCGCCTTGACCCCTCCTCAGCTGAGTCTTTTTCTGTCCCCATTTCCATTTCTTTTGTAACAAGTTTTAACAAAAATTTTTTTTTTGTTTATCCTGTTGCTCCATTACAAGGAACTACAAAAGTTCATGGAAAAAAATCCATTCGCTTTTAATTCCATTTTTTTCACAAACTTTTTGAAGTTTGTATCTGATTGTTGTGTCTAAAATGCAGCTTCTCTTACATCAAAAGTTTGTAGTTTTGCCCTCTTAAGAGCCTCTTTGTAAGGCCAAAAAGTTATTGTTATTACTCTTTTTTTTTTTTTAATGTTTTATTGTGAATTATGTGATCATTTACATGGAAGAACATAGCTTTATATTTACCGTATATCGTTTCATTGCCATGGTTATAATCCCCTCCATGAATCATCAACCAACCAAAGGGTATACCCTGCAAGCCTTCCCACTGGTGGTCAGCACAGAGCCCTTCTCTCTCTCTGGGTGTAGAGTTCCCAGCCGTTCCCTCTGCCTCCATCTCTGGCGTCAGTGCTTCTCTGGGTAGGATCCTGCATTCTGCTCTTCTCCCTTGATGGTCCTAGGGACTTCTGCTCCTAGACTGCAAAGTCTACCATTCCACTCGTTTTCCTACAAAACGTCTACCTTTACATTTCCTACTCTCACAGTCAGTCCCGTTAGCAATTATTCACTATTGTGCCACATGAGTGCTATCCCCTTCTCCTTTCATCAGCCCCGCCCAGACAGATTGAATACTACTCAGTGGAGATTCTACTTTCCTCTGCACCCTCTGGATCTAGGCTCCTTCTTGAAAGCTTGCAAGCCAGTCACTTCTTGCCTTTGTAGCCCCCCATTTTGGGTATCCAACGTCCAAGTTGTCCATACCTATCCACCCTGTGTATTGAGGGGGTGGGAACAGTCCTTGCTGTAAAGATTTGTTCCTTCTTTTGAGCTACTGCATCCATAGGTATAGGTCAAGTTCATCAAATTGTATCAGATTACTATTTTTTTTCTTTTCTTTCTTCTTCTCATTAAGTTCTGATCATCCAGCCATTGGGTGAATTCAGCATCCATATTAAAGCCCTGCAACAACTTGTTAACAGAAACTTAACAGCTCTTCTTGATATTATTAGTCTCTGTCTCTATTCTGAATCCAGGGACCTTCCCTTCCCTAATATCTGCCCTTTACATCAGGAGCCCTGGTAATACTATAGGATAAATAGTGGACTACTAACTGCAAGAGTGGCAGTTCAGGCCCCTCAGCTGATCCTCAGGAGAAAGATGAGGCTTTCTGCTCCTAAAGATTTACAACCTCTGAAACCCTACTCTGTATGTTGTTGTTGTTGAGTGAAGCCCTATATAGAGTTGCTATAAGTTGGTAATTGGAATGGTTTTTGAGTTTTTAGCCCCTTCTACCACCAAGAATGAAATCAAATACTATAATTTTGGCTCTACAAAATTTTCAGTTATGTCATTCTAGTTTTATGATTTTTAATTCAACCTTGGAACACTTATCATATTTGTCCTCAAGACTTCATCCAACCAAATACTTCCCTATTCAATGGATAACTCGCTCTTCCCTGGTTGTCTTCTCATAAGCTCTGATTATCTTTAATTGCTTATACTTTTTTTCTGTGAAGCATCCTTATTTCTGTTTTAAAGCCACTTAGTATCTCTTTCTTCACCCCTCTGTTTTTTATTTCTACTCATTTTCTTTGTCATCTGCCTTCAGTAAGTATATATCTTCTCTGTTAAAAAGATTTTGTTATATTGCTTCTTTTCATCTACCTTTCTTTTATCTAACTACAGAACTAAAAAATCAGTGGCTATATTTGTTACCTCTTTTTTAACTGTTATTTCTTCAAAGCCCTGTATCATCTTGTGTATTCACTTTAACTCTTGCTGCCTGTGCTTTCTTGGTTTAATCATAAAGTAGGCTATGATTTTCTTTCTTTACAAATCAGGTCACTAGGCTAGTGAAAGATTTGTTTTGAGTCAGGCAGACAGATGCGGATTCTGCAATTGAATTATATATACTTACTAGCTATGTTACTAACTGTAGGAATATTAGTTTTTCTTGCTTAGTTTGTCCATTTATCAAATGTGTCTAATGCCTAACATGAAAAGACTTGTGAGAATTCTAATAATCGATATTGTTGTTATTATTACTTACACTGTTGATGTTATACAACACAACTCTTTCTGTTGAATCTAGAAATACGGGATCTCCTTTCTCTTCTGTTTTTCCTTTAAAAAGGACCTTTTGTATTCCTACTGCCCTCTACTTATAGAAAGTCTCCAAGGTACCCAGTCTTTGATCCTCTTTTGTTTTCTCTATCTTTCTTCTCTTTCTATTCTTCCTTTATGAAGAGATTCTGGCTTGTAGGATTGTTCTCAAGTTATGTCTATAACTCTTAACTTATTTTTTTTTAAGTAAACTTTGCTTGAATTCTAATTTTATACCTTTGGAATCATCCATTAGATCTTGCCATAGATCATTAGTTACATCTTGTCATAGATTATTAAACATCTAATTGCTTTTGTCTGTTAACTAGCTATTCTCTTCTTTTTTTTTCTGTGGTGGTATCTTGACTTATCCAGGATAATTATCACTTCGGTTTTCTCATCATCTTTATTTTAACACTGTGTGCTTTTCAAAATAGCATTTGCAAACCATCCCTGCTTTGTATTTCCACTGTTGCTTTGCTTATCTAAGACCATTGTTTTACTCAGGAATTATACTAGAATATTACAAAAATGTGACAAGGCATTCTTCCTGTACCCCTCTCTACTCAGCTAGGTGTGATGATTCATTGCAGTGGCCATACAACTCAGACACAAACTCACAGTTCCTGGATGTATTAGGGAAGTTAACAGTTTACACCGCAGGATCAGAAAATGCATACGGCGCAGTTGTTCCAGTCAAGACCGTCTCTCCTCAGTCATGCCCACAGACAGGCCTTTCTCTGTCCGGTTTATGTTATGAAGCTTATTTAAGGCTGTTGATAAATGTTCACTGGACACACCATTCCATCATAAGCCTCAGCCTAAAGGCACTTGGTTTTGGCTCCAGATCTTTGTTATCTATAAGATCAACAAACTAAATTGGGCTCCCCCAATTTAGTGCCTGTGAGTGTCACTGAATAGAAATTTTTATTAATTACCAACACAGGCACTTTGCCAGGAGATACTTAACTTGTTCAGTGGGCTGGAAAGCCCACTACTCTATCTCATGTTCTGATATTTGAGTCTACTGTTGCTGCTCCTCTGCCACTCCTCTGGTTCCACAGCTTTTTGTCACTAGGTCAAGGAGGTTCCATGTGTGGGAATCTCAGGGTCCAAAGGACGTACTCTCCTTCTGGTTCTTTAATGGTAGTGAGATACCCCCTCTCCATCTTCTGACATGGCTGATTTGTTAAAGGTTCAAGTTTTTACCATTACAGTTCACTCTGATATCCACAGCTAAGTCATGTCACCCTATCAGTATCTTCTCTCTCCTTTTACACAGACCCATCAGGAAGAGTGATTTGGTGGTAGTTACAAAGACTAAAGGCTAGAAGAGTCATATTAAATAGTTCACTACACCACAAATATTGTAACTAAAAAAAATCTACGTGTGGTTTACCTTTTCTCCAAGATGGAGAATGGTAAGGTTATGAATAAGAGTGATGAGGAGATTATGGGTTCTGTCTGTAGACCTCAGTACCAGAGGACCCACGATGGGGTCAGCAGCAGGACCTGGCCTTAGAATTCAACAAGTGTCAGCTTCTAATACATGATCTGCTTTTTCTACTTCAAACCATTTATCTCCTGGGAGTATAAATGCAGTATCCCAAAGTAAGTAGGTAAGGGATGTATAGGGTAAAGAGAGGAAAACAAAAGCTTATACTGCTGGTCCTCTTCTGGTTACCACCTTCAGTGTGAATAAAATTTGGTCATGCCTCTGAGACAGTGACAGCTGAACTCGCAGAGATTAATAATGATGTATAGCTATGAATGGGGAAGAATAAAATCATAGAAAGTTATAAGAAAAGAGAAGTAGGAATTAATGTTTAGAAAGGATGGTGGAGGGATCCATGTCTAGCCTCTCTGCATCTCACTCAATCTTGTGAACTGTTTGGTATGCACAGTCTCCGTAAATACCCATTTAATCACTATATTTCACTCAGATCATAAGACTTTTATTTTAGACAGAATGTGGCATCATCCACTGACTGGCCTCCCTCTACTTTTTTAGCCTGACATATGCTACTTATTATCCAAGCAGGAACTTTTATTATTTAGAATACTGAGCATACTTAATTTGTTGTTTCTAGTGCTATACTAATGTACTTTCTATCCTCTCCTTTCCAAGTCCTAATGATTCATCAGGAACTGATACATCGTGTAGGTTCATCAGGGCCTTCCTGTTCTGTGCGGGTTATGTGTGTGTGTGTGTTCTCCTTCTCTTTACTCGTGTGTATGTATGAGCCCCAACACCTATTGTTACTGAATTCTCTATGGTCATATGTTGCTTATTTGATGTTTTGTCTCTTAGACTATAAGCACTTAATACAGCAGAAATAGTGTTTTCATCTTGTATTTTCTGTGATATCATTACATCTTAGATACTCAGTAAATATCTCTGGAACAAATGAATTTGAAACTTAGGACTTAAAAGATATATATATATATATATATAAACAAACTGATGGTATTGAGTTATGCAGTATGTAGTGGTCTTAGCACTTCAGGGCTACGTAGTGAAGTGAAAAGTACCAACCAGTGCCATCTTTCAGGGCTCCGTTTCAATTGTACTTTATGAGCTATTGTCATTAAGCATTGTTTCTAAATCTGTTACCTAATTAGCAGGTATTCAGTTATGGTTTGATATGAAATGAAGGCTGGAGGCTCAGCTATTCCTTTGGGTACCACTTACTGCCAAAGGCCTTTAGGGAGTGGGGAAAAAGGAAATATAATTGAATGGAGATTAGTGAAGACTTAGAGGAGGTGGGGAGAACCACCATTTGTCTCAAGTGATTTACCTTACTGTTGTATATAGATTCCTGTGACATGAAATTCTATCTAATGCAAAGGCCTAGCTTTGTTCTCTGTTTGTTTTACTTGTTTTTCTTTCTGCTTTCCTGCTTTTCTCTCTCAAACTTATTTTATTGTATGGAAACTTCCCTAGCGGAGGAGATTCATTTCTTCACCCAACATGGCTGTTTGAAAATTACGAGCACACAGTTCTTTTAAAATATTTTTTTTAACTTATGATCTTTCTTGTTTGGTCTTTCAGCTTTTCACTAGTTCTGTGCAGATGAATCCCACAGATTACATCAATAACACAAAAGTAAGTTTTAATTCATGTTGCCCAGGACCCATATCTGTAAGAATATGAAAACAAAACAAAACAAAAAATCATAGTAAGTAGAGAGCATTATCACTCATAGTTACAAAAGTATTTTTTTCCTACTAATATATGTGATAAAGAGAGTAAAGTTCTAGGTGAAAAACTAGATTTTGGTTGTGGATGAATCATTGCCCAGTTCTACTGATGCTTTTGGGAATAACTACCAGTGTGAAATTGACCTCACTCTGTTGGGAGGTCTTCTTCCTAAACGTGGAGTGTCCAGGTGTATCATTGAAATGAGCTGTCAAAACATGATTTTTTCATGTTTTAATTTCTGCATTTTACATTCTTCCTTCCATAAACAAATTGTCAGCATTTTTAATTGAAATTTACTGGTGCCCATATTCTTTTATCTCCCAGTATAGTACTAGCTCAAGGATTTGTACTAACTGGAAACAATGCTGTTTGAAATAGTGAATTAGGGGTTGAGGATTTGTTTTTAAAGTAATAAAGTTTCTTGTTATATATTTAAACGTACAGGAACTCCATTTGGACTTAGCAAGTACTGAGGTGTTGGTAAGAGACTCTTTAGAAATGATTGTCTATTTTTGGTTTTTCTGGAGGGCAATTTGAAGTTGTTTGAGCAGATATTTATGAATATTTTGTATGACTTAGTCTTGAATAGGTTGTGGCAGTTTAGGAGTTAAAGCACTTGGCTGCTAACCGAAAAGTCAGTGGTTTGAACTCACCAGTTGCTCTGTGGGAGTAAAAGATGGACAGTTTGCTTCTATAAAGATTGATAGCCTTGGAAACCCTATGGAACAGTTCTACTCTGTCTTCTAGGGTCTCTATGAATCAGAATTTACTCAAAGGCAATGAGTGAGTGGATTCTCTTGTGTATATACCAAGTCGGTAAGTGATCCTTGTTTTTCATTGAATGCAAAGGTAAACCCTGTCCTCTAGAATTTGTACAAATTCTAAATTAATGGAGTCAGAATTTTATCTTCCTTTTTATTCTTTGTAATTTAAAAATGAGTACATCTTAAGTTATTAAGGGTTGATGAAGCACTTTTCTGGCTAATGTCATATATGAGGGTCGATAGCGGGACAAGATTTTCTATGCGTTGAAAGTTATAGTCTTAATAACTTAGAGGTAAAATAATTTATGAATTTGTGGTTTAGGAAATTGATTATACATTGAGTATTTGCATGATTTTATTAGGAGCTGGCATACTTTTTCTGTACAGTGACAGCCAGCTGGTAAATATTTTCAGTCTTGTGGGCCATATTTCTTTATGACTACTCAACTCTCCTCTTAAAATGTAAAAGCAAAAATTGATGCTAGTTAAAAGTGTTGTAATAAAATTTTATTTACAAAAATGTGCAGCCTGCTGAATTTGGCCTGTGGGCCATAGTTTTTATAAGATCATTTGGACCACTTCAGCTTTGTGTTTCAGTAAATATGATCATATTATTTGAATGTTACTAAGCCACAGGCCTTATTTTGAATGGACCTATATCATATATTCACTTACTGAATGTACTTTCCTGTATATTTATTGTTAGACATTAAGTCATTCTTTATTCTTAGATCATTATTCTTATCCCCCAAAATCAAGAGTCTGGGACACAGTTTTTAGAAATAACAACTTATCTGAGAATTACATATTATTCTACAATATTGTAGAAAAGTTAAATTAGAGAATAGCTTTTCAGTATAGTTTGGCTTAGATCCTAAATTAATGTTTCCAAACAATTGACACAGATCCTAAATTAATGTTTCCAAAGAATTGACACATCAGCCATCATTTCCTTGCCTATGACAGATGTATTGCTTAGAATGCTTTTTCCTAATATAAATCAGGATGCTTTATACATCTCAATACAGTGATCTAGTTACCATTACTAGTGGATACAAATTTGTGTGGGAGGTGAAACTCATTTGTCATCCTGGTTCTCGTCTGTTTTAGAACAACAGTATCAACCTTAAGTATTGCCCATTTTAGGAAATAAAATAATAAAAGTGGTATTAGTGCATTAATGTTGTATGTATTATGAATGCTAAATGAGAAAAATTTTTTTGTATTTTTTTAAGACCTAAATAATTTTTATTCTATTTAAGTGCCATTCTGCCCTCTGAATCCTGCACACTTGTACTTCGTACTTCAACTAATGATGAATATCAGGGGGAATAAAGGAATTAGTATAAAAGTGTTACACCACATATACTTAACTAGCCCACAGATATCTAGTACTTACAGTTGTTTAAGAAAACATGTGAATCTTCTCACCTTGGAGCTTGATCCTCACTGGGAAGAGCAGTGAAGAAGTTAACAACATTAAAGATTTAATCTCCACAGTAAGATGTAAGGAGAGAGAGGAAGCAGTGTTTGAAAGAAGCAACTTAAATGGTGGAAAGGAACTAAGAGAGTCACAAAAAAAAAAGAAACACTTTCTCAGTTTTGAGGCTTCCCAAATAGGGATAGATTTAAAGATGTCACTAGACAGCAAATCCTGAGCTATTCCAAATAGGTTCATGTATGTTAAGTACTTTATTAATGAAGGGAAATGTGAAATACATTTTTAATCAGAATATTTGAAGTAAATTTAATTGCCTAAATTAATCATTTAATCAGCATTTAAAACCAGTCATCTCATGATTCATTTTTGCACAAAACAAATTTCCTGTATTCTATTATTGAAATGCCCTCTTCTCTTCATACTTATTGCCATCCTAGTTCAGGTTCTTTGTTTCTTCCCCTTGATGACAATGTAGTTTCTTCACCAGTCTGTTTCCTATATTCAAATCTCTTTCTCTCTCTAGCCCATCTTTCCAGATGCTCCCCTCTTTTCCCTGTATATTTGAGATAATGTATTAATATTTATGTACCATATCACTTTTTTTTTGCTTTGTTGTAGGAGCATATAAATTAGGAAACATGGAAATGTTTTATATTGTTTTTCTCTTTTAGTCAGAGAATAAAGGATTAGAAACTACCAAGAACAATGTAGTTCAACCAGTTTCAGAAGAAGGAAGAAAATCTAAACCAAAACCAGGTATGTATAGATGCGCTATTAGTTTCAAATTAAGAGTCCTGCATATAACCAAATGAGAATCAGGGAAAGCTTTGCCATACTTAGCAAGTGAACCGAGTGTACTGACCTCAGTCTGTACAGTGTCAATGTTCCTGCTTTTAGAGAAAATTGAATTAATGTGGTAACAGTTCTTGAAGTTTAAGTTGTAGATATTTAACTTTAGGAAAACTAAAAAAGAGCCTGCATTTCTTAATTGTTGACTGAGAAATTTAACTTTGGTACTTGCATATTTATTTCTTAATATACTAACACAATCTATGATAGTTTCTTGTTTCACATATAAGGATAGTGATACATGCACATGTTTACATTTCCCCCCTTCAGCTTGAACTCTGTATAAGCTGGTAATAAAAAAGTGTTTTTCTAATCTTTGTAGATAAGCAACTTATCCAATACACTGCCTTTCCACTTCTCGCATTCCTTGATGGGAACCCTGCTTCTACTGTTGAACAGGGGAGTACAACATCATCAGAAGTTATGTCTTCTGTAGATAAACCCATAGAGGTTGATGAGCTTCTGGATAGCAGCCTGGATCCAGAACCAACCCAAAGTAAGCTTGTTCGCCTGGAGCCACTGACTGAAGCGGAAGCTAGTGAAACCACACTGTTTTATTTATGTGAACTTGCTCCTGCACCTTTGGATAGTGACATGCCACTTTTAGATAGCTAAATCCCCAAGAAGTGGACTCTGTGTATATATTCATCAAAATGATGAATTATTTATTTAAAAGTATCATTTGGTACTTTTTTTGTAAATTGTTTTGTTTTGTTTAATCAAATACTGTGGAATCTAAAGTACCTTTTACTTTCTCACTAACCACACACTTTTGCAAAGCTCTCAGATGTTACTTACTCAGCTGCATAAGTACACAAGATTCAGTGCACATTATCGACACATCGTTTAAGTTGAATTTTCATGGCCACTTTTCTCCATTTGGAGTAAATTGAATTTCTTTTTTACATATAAACCCATTAACCCGTTAAACTTTTGTTTGTTTTACTTGTTTGCTATGTCTGATTGCATTGAGTGTAAGTCATTATAGCTAATGGTAGAACCCTTCAAGCTTTCTCTGTTCTAGTTACTTTCATTAAATATTTTTCACTTTGCTTATTTTTAAAACTGGGAACATAAAGTGCCTGTATCTCGTAAAACTTCGTATGTCTTTCTTGATTGAGAGAAGTTCATTTATGTTCAGAGAAGTTCATTCATGTTCAACAGGAAAGGCAAAGTGTACATGAGTGCTCGCTGTCTGATATGGTTCCAGCTTCATATGCATGGAAGAAAGAAGGGATGGGATGGAGTCAACCCACCCAACTCAGTTGGATTAGTTTTAAGTAAACATTTATGGTTTGTTTGTGTTTTATTGAACCCATACTATTTAGTAAAATAAATATAATGAATGTTGAGTACTAGTGTTTGTTATTTGTCTTCTTTGGAAATGAGACATAAAAATTTTAATCTTATACTTGAATCATTACAAAGAATTTGTTGTTGTTGTTAAGTGCCATCAAGTCAGTCCCAACCCATAGAGAACCTGTGTAGGATTTCCGAGGAGCGACTGATGAGCTTGACACCCACCCTGTGGTTCAAACTGACCTTGCAGTCTAGGGCATTAACCCACAGCACCACATCAAGACTCCTAGAAAGAATTTAGGATATTGTTAATATTAACATTTAAAAATAGTAATTGTTATGTTTCTTTTAAATATATCTAAAGAAATCTAAATACCATAATGATTTGATGATACCTATGAAAATCTATTCCAGTTCTACCAAATAATTTTTTTCTATTTTTTATTATACATGAAAGTTGTATGTTGATGATCATGTCACACATCTCTGAACTAAATTTGAAATTGCTTCTTGTAGCTTGAAATATTATTTTATTATCTTATCTATAAATTTGATTATTAAAAAAAATTCAATTCCAATTCTAAATGAACACTTGATCAAAACATTATAAATGTGTGTGGCAAAGACTGTAAACTGAGTGTCAAACCATTTTCTCTTCCTGTCATGTGCCTAGATTATTTTGACCTTCCTTGAAATTTGGGTAGCCATAGGTCAGTTCTCCCCTACCTTATGTGCAGGAAAGGCAAAAATAATCTAGCTGCATGATTAGGATAGCCATGCACTTCTAACTGGACCAATAAATAGCATCATGATAGCTGGACAAAAGATTGAAGCTGTCAAAGGCTTCATTTTGCTTGGATCTACCATCAACACTCATGGAAACAGCAGTCAAGAAATCAGATGACATATTGTATTAGGCAAATCTGCTGCAAAATACCTGTTTAAAGTGTTCAAGAGCAAAGAGGTCAGTTTGAGGACTAAGGTGCGCCTGACTGAAGCCATAATTTTTCAGTTGCTTCATATGTATGTGAAAGCTAGACAACAAAGACAGACCATGGAAGAATCGGCGCATTTGAATTATGGTGTTAGAGACGAATATTTTTGAAAGTACCATGGACTGCCACAAGAACAGATAAATCTGTGTTGGAAAAAGTACAACCAGAATGCTCCTTAGAAGCCAGATAGCAAGACTTCATCTCTCATACTTTGTACATGTTATGAGAAAGAACCAGTCCCTGGAGAAGAGCATCATTCTTGGTAAAGTGGAGGGTCAAAGAGGAAGACCCCTCCCCCCCAAATGAGGTGGATAGACACAGTGGTGGCATCAGTGGACTCTAGTGTAGCAAAATTTGTGAGGATTGTGCAGGACCAGGAGGATTCTGTTGTACATAGGGTTACTGTGACTCAAAAACTGACTCACTGGCACCTAACAATACTACCATAATACAGTTCTAATAAATAGGGGATGTGATCTGCAACACTCCCAGGTTCGGTCTGAAAATTGCATCTCCCTTGCATTGCTCCATGCCCTTTACACTGTTCCTGCTTGCTGCAGATTAGAATATGGCTTTTGGGGATATGCTCTAGCAGAAGAAACTTGGCTTTCTGAATCACTGCTTCCATCCTTCCACCATCTTTCCCTTTAGGAATGAATGCACGTCCAGGGGTAATGCCGGGGTGTTGCCCAAGGCCAAGCTCCAGATGACTACCTGTAATAACTTTTGTTGTTAAATGCCACAGAATCAGTTATGACTCATAGCTTTGATACTCAAGAGTTTAGGTTTTCCAAGGATTTAAAAATCTCAGGAGCAGAAAACCTCATTTTTCTCCCATGGAGCTGTTAACAGGCTTGAACCAGAGGCCATGTGGTTCACATCCAATACGGAGCCACCGTGCTCCCAATAGTAGGTTTTAGTCTTCAATAAAATATGGTACAAATTTTGATGAATTGATATTAAATATAGAAAGTAAAATTTTATCAGAAATAATGTATCTTAGTGGATTAAATAGCTTGTACGAAAAGTTTGGGTTTTGTTTTCTGGGTGGGTTATTTAAGGTAAATATTTTTTTAAGTTTTTATTGTGAATGATGTGGGTTTACATTGGAGAACATCGGTTTTACATTTAACCTATCGTATTTCGTTTCATTGCAATGATTACAATTCCCTCCATGCATCATCAAATAACAAAGGGTACACCCCACAGGCCTGCCCCCCCGGCTGTCAGCACACAGCCATCTCTCCCTCCCTGAGTCCAGTGTTCCCAGCTGCTCCATCTACCCATGTCATCGTCTCAGTCTCCATTTCTGGCGTCACTACTTCTCTGGGTTGGGTCCCGCACTCTGCTCTTCTCACTTGATGGTCCCAGGGACCTATGCTCCTGGACTGAAAAATCAATCCCTCCCCTCCTTTTGTTAAAAAACTTCAAAAACATCTACCTTTACAGAATTTTTGAGGAAGTGTGGTGGCTCTGTAGGATAAGCACTGGGTTTAAAACAAACATCTCTGAAGTAGAAGTGAGGCTTTCTGCTCCAATGATTTACAATCTCAGAAATTACATGAATCAGAAATCACTAGGTCGCACTAAACAACTGTCTGAATATTATAATATTGATAATAGTAAGAGTTATTCAGCAACCCTTATATTTTAATTTAGAGGGATAGCTTTGTCATTAATAACAAAGTATAATTTTAAGTACTGATTTAGACTAGGACCCACACAGCAAATTGAAATTTAAAACTAAAACTGCCTGTTAGTTATTGGCACCAATCAAAATGTGAAGAAAAATAGAGTCAAATAGTTACTAGCAACATGTATATTTTAGTTCCTGGGTGAAAGACTAGATAAGTATTTTAGACATAACTCAAAGCCAGTATTTGATCTCGTATTCAATCCTGTAAGACTCTGTATAGGTCAAATTATCTCTTTGAAGAAATTTGGATTATTCTTTTTTCAAATAACTGAGTTTTTGTTTTTTCATTTCTTTTTGGTTTTGCATTTTGTTTTTGGTTAGTACTGACAGAATCATCCAGATTTACATATTGTTCCAAAGTATTTGGACTGAGGGTCTAAAAAAGAAAAGATACAGATTGGCTATACTAATTTCAGTGTGTGGTTATATTCTAACCAGATAGAAAGCGGAAATGCTGATGTAGTCAGTATTAGTGTTTAAGATGCTTGAAATTACTATTTAAAACATTTTGAAATTGAGGTTCTCTCTGGTAGCGTAGTGGTTACGAATTGGGCTGTGAACCGTAAGCTCAGTGGTTCGAAACTACCAGCCGCTCCGCGGGAGAAAGATGAGGCTTTCTACTCCTGTAAAGATTTACACCCTCGGAAACCCTGTACAGGGTCGCTATGGGTCGGAACCGACTCGACGGCACTTAACAATAACAACAAAACTAGAGAACAGTAGGAATTTAATCATGTTTGATACCATGTTATATGTCAGTATTTCAAAATCAGTGACAGGATGTACATAGAACAGGAAGGAGTGGTCTAGACGATAGAAAAGAAAAGTAGACACAAAATATTTTATAGTAAAGTAATACAAAATGGACCTTGGTGGCAGACTGGGTTAAGCATTGAACTGCAACCTACAGGTAGGTAGTCTGCTTTCATAAAGATTTAGTCTTGGAAGCCCTATGGAGCAGTTCTGCTCTACCCTAGAAATCCCTAAGAGTTGGAATCAACTCATTGGCAGTGAGTGGTATATAAGAAAGGACTTTGTAGATTGGACCATGTTATAACCATATTGTAATGAGCTCTGGTAGTGTAGTGATTACGAGTCAGGCTGCTAACCTCACGGTCAGCAGTTTGAAATTACCAGCCATTCTGCGGCAGAAAGATGCTTTCTTTACAGCCTCAGAAACTATACAAAGTCGCTATGAGTCGGTTCACAGTACACCACACCACCATAACCATGTAGGAACCATGTCTGACTTCTCTTGACTTCATGAGGGGGAAAGAGAATCAAGCTCAAAATCATCCCAACTCGGAACACAACAGTTCTCCAATAAGGAACGCCTCTTACCTGCCATACTACAGGTATGCCTCACTCAGGTTTTTAGTTTCTCACCTGTGGTCCATTGGTCTCTGCTCTGCTTGGGCATGTGTTAAAAAGTATTTTTAGCCAGTCTATGAATACCCAAAGGGCACAACTTCAGGCCAGTCTCCTGCTTTACTCAGTCCGTAGATCTAGAGCCCAAAGCTGCTTTGTCTCTCCAAGCCAATGTCTTTGCTGTCACCATTTCTCTAGGTAAGGATCTCACTCACGTGTGATTCAGGGTCTTCCTTCTTGATGGTCCTGGGATCTTGCATCTCTGCTTCTGAGATTGGCTCTTTTTATTCCTACCTAGAGGGCAAAACTAACCAATTCCAGCTTTAGAGTCTTGCATACTTATTTGCATGCTGTCACTCAAATCACTTCTCTGGAGAAGGATACCATGTTTGGTAAGGTGGAAGGTCAAAGAAAGAAAGACCTCCAGTGAGATGGATTGGTAAAATGGCAGCATTATTGGGCTCAAACGTGGCAGCAATTGGGAGGTTAGCCCAGGACCGTACAGTGTTTCATTCTGTTGTGCATAGGGTCACTATGAGCCGATACATACTTAATGGCACCTAACAACAACTCTGGTAGCGTAGTGGTTACGAATCGGGCTGCGAACCTTAAGGTCAGCGGTTCGAAACTACCAGCTGCTCC